CCCCCCCCCCCCCCCCCCCCCCCCCCCCCCCCCGCAACCCTTAACTCTGAATGACCTTATTTCTCAGATGTTAAACATTATTTCAGTGCAGACTTTATATACTTTTAATATACGGTGTGGAGCCTACTCTTTGTACAGCTGAATAATTACTCTATTCAGCCCCAGTATGGTATACATATATATGTTATTTCATCCTCACCATCTCTTGTTTTTTCAGTTTTACAGAGCTTTCTTCCCTGGGGATGATTTTCAATGTTTGTGCTATATTTTATCAGCATGTTAACATCTGGCTCTGCGAATTCCTCATATTCTCTAGGTGCTTTGGAGCATCTGTAGTTCATCCTTTCAGCAGAGAACTTGGAAACTGTGTTGCATATGTCTTTTAGAAAAGAACAGCAGAATGCTATTTGCTTTTTGTGTGTTCATCTAGCTGCATTTCTTATAGAGACTGAAAAAGGTTTATTGCAAGTCCATCTCAAGCAGTGTATAATGTTTATTCTAACTCCATGTATGATGCCAGATTACTGAAGCTTTCACTCACACTGGAAGTTACTGAAATGAGCAGTCCTAGTGACTTTACACCACAATTTTTCCCACATCCCTTGGGCTTCATCTTGCTATGTGTGCCATATATACAACAACCGTCACAATAAACTTATTAAGGAAACAATTGTTTTAAAGAAGGGAATTTAAAATCCATAGCTGTTAAATACAGTACTATGAGTTCAACTGTATAGATCATGATGGCAGAAGAAATATAAATAAAACTTTAAAAAAATCCAAATTACTGTAGCCATACTGAACAGAAGTCCGGAACTAACCAAATCTAATGTTCTTTACTTGACTAAAAGACAGAACTTAGTCATATTTCTTTGAATACTGTATTTAAATCTTTAAACATATCATTAGTTTAGGAATGAGTACAGCCTATGAACATTGCTCCAGGCCATTTAATTTGGTGTAGAAAATTCCACAAGTGAGGGCATTAAAGAAAAATGCATTTTATTTCAAGTTGCAGCTGTTTGAAGCTGCTTAGAGGTATGAAATGTTGATTTTAATCCTCAAAAACGAACTTTAATTAACAGAATGTAAGCGAGATGCTTATTGGTGCATGAAGTATTTACCACAGAGCTATCACCACCGTTTAATGTGGTTTCTGCCTAACAGAATCTTTCCATATTGTTTAGCAGAGGGTCTATCTTTTAACTAAAGGGTCAGTTTTACCACATCTCCTGTGTACTGTACAAAACAACCACTGTAGAAGATAGATCATTGTGCATTGCACCCATATTACTGTGGTATAATTAGATGTGAAGAGCAGTTTTGGGATTGTCTTATACTGACTGCTGGGACTTGTCACTGCAGCAAAGGTAGGGCTTAGTGCCCCTTGAACACCCAAGTTTACAGGCATCTGTCAAGCTGGCTAACAAGGCTGCTCTAGGTTTGACTCAATTGGCTGCACTCTAGTTCTATCTTCCAAGCTTTTGCCCGTGGGTGTAGGGGTGGGGGGGGAGAGATAATGCAAGGCCTAGGGAGTACAAAACTAGTTCCATCCTGCTTTGCCCTAGGCTTGTTGTATTACTTATGATGCTCTGCAAAATGGAACCAGTATTTCAGTACCAGAATAGGAGGGGTAAGGATAAAGCCAAGGAAGAGGGTGAAGCTTTGATTCCATGGTCATGGGCTAAATCAGTCTGCAACGCAGGACACAAATGCTACTTATTAGCATTGGAAAGTATGCCCTTGTAGCTGAAAATAGTTGCCAGCCTCTTGTGGAAAAGGTTGTCAGGTGGGCATCCTCTTGCAGCCATCATTGCTTGTCAAGTGTAGGGGAGGATGGCAATCTAGATTGTGCTTTATTTACCCTTTGCTTCAGTTGCAAATATTGCTGTCTTGCAGAAGTCCTCAGAGCCAAGGAGGAGGGTGTTTTATTTGTTACCCACTCTTGTCCAACTGGCTTTCCTCTAACATGGACTCAGTGCTTGGCCAGGGCTGCTTTGTGGCTCAAAGCTACTGTCCATAGAGCCCTTTACTTAAATATGTTGACTAACATGCATAACCCTTGGAGCCTTAATCTGTGACAGCCCACCGCTAGCAACATTATGAATCACTGACTGTCAGCTTAGGTCCTGATATGGCAGCTATATAAAAAGAAACTGCATGGGAACAGCCTTGTTCACTCATGTGTGCGATTACGGTTATCCATTTGCATACCTAGCGCCTTAGAAAGTCAGACAACTAACTACAGCCGAGGCCGTGTTGCACTTGAGCCTGCCGCAGGAAAGGTACCAGTCGCAGAATAACTCTGCGCGCTGGTTCTGTTTCCCGGTCGTGACTTGTTGGGGGGGGGGGGGGGGGGCAGTCCTGGGACCCTGTTGTGCCGGACTTGTTTCAGGTGGGAGGTGAGAGCGGATGAAATGCTGGTTATGTGCAGCAGCGCTCCCGTTCGGGGGCCTGAGCCCGCCCCCCCCCCAGCCGGGCTCGGACCGCGCTGAGCGTTCCAGAGCCTGTGTTGAACGTTCGGACTGGCATTGTTACGGGCCCGGGAGGGTGGTGTTGATTCCGATCGCTGCGGATCCGCTTGGCAACTGGGCGCCTTTGTACGCCCAACGGGGCAGGCGCGCTGTCATCTTGCCCCTCCGCTTGTTAGGGACGGCGCATGACCCCCCCCACGCGCCCTACAAAGCAGGGGGAGATGGCACTGGGAGCCACGGAAACCCCTCTCCCGCGGCACCTCATTAGCCAGGATCCCGCCACGTGCTTCTTATCCTCCCCCCAGGCGAGCAGCCGCTGGAGTTTAGCGTTGGGGCAGCCAGGCCCGCGGGCGCCGCAGATTGAGGAGGGTGGACAGGGCCCTCCTTCCTCCTGCAGCAAAGGCGGGTTCGGGCCCGTCCCCCCGAGCTGGGCGCGGAGGTTGATTGTTCCCCGCCGCCAGGCAGGGAGCGGAGGAGCCGGGGGCACGGTGCGGCGCGACGCGGCGGGCAGGAAGCGGCCGGCGCGGGCAGGGAGGGAAGGGGAAGAGGCGGAGCCTGGGCGCCAGCGGTGTCAATAATACAATAGGGCTCTTGTGCGGCCGCCCGCGAGCAGAGGAGCCAGCGGCCCCGGGCTGAACGGAGCCGGCATGCAGCTACGGCCCGCGCCCTGAGTCCGGCCCCAGCCTGCAGCTGAGCCGAGCCGCCCGGGCCATGCGCGGAGGCGGCGGCCCTGAGCACCCCACGCCCGTCCGCAGCCACAAGGTGAGAGCGGCGCGGGGCCCGGCCTCCCCGCTTGGCGCCAAGGCCCGCCGGGGGAGCTGGGGCGGCGCGGCG